GTTGATGTGTTCGACAAGGACGTTGAACCTTATAATGTGGGGGTGAAGGTCGGTTGAAACTGATCCCACATCGGTTAGGAAGGAAAACTAAACATTCCTTATAAGGAGTGTGGATACCTTCCCTATCACAATGCGTTTTAAAGTTGTGAGGGAAGCAGATCCCATAAGAACTCTATAGTTAAGCATGCATGGTGAGAGCAATTTAGGGATGGGTGACCCCCTGGGAAGTTTTCATGTCGAGAGCCCAAAGCAAACAATATTGTGATGCATGCCAGAGGGGGATGTTACAACACGAATGTCATCTGATATTGACTTTAACCATTGAGTTTTTGACTTGGTTGACTTTTGGTTAAATTGCCAGTCTTAGAGTGTGGATTAAGGTTTGACCTTGGGTATTTCGATAGGTGTGATGTAGTACCGATTTTTGGACTTTCTGAGTTGTGATTGTTTGACTGTGAGTGTGAGGTAAGCCTTCTTACTATACTATGTAGGATGCTAGTTGTGTTTGTAATAATTGCATGGAAGACCAGGATGTGGCCCTTGGCATATGCATGGAAGACCAGGATGTGGCCCCTAGAAATCATATGAAAGACCATCATCTGGCCCCTAGCAATTATATGTAAGACAAAGATCTGCCCCTGGCATTTGTATGTAGGATGCTAGTTTTCTTCGTGATACTTGCATGGAAGACCAGGATCTAGCCCCTGACACTTGTATGTAAGACTAGGATGTTACCCCTGGCATTGACAAGGAAAGACCATGATTTGGCCCGTGGCAGGAAGTGGTTGTAAGCCTATGATTCGACTCATAACATTCACTATCTTATGTTTGACATGTGGTATTTTGGGGAACTCACTAAGCTTTGTGCATACGGTTTATGTTTAAAATGTTTTCAAGTACTTTTGGTTCCAAAGGGAAGAGTTCGGCTTGATCGCACTACATCCACTAGAGATTTATTTTGTATTGACAATTTTTCTTTTTTATACCAATGTTTTGAGAATAATTTTACTCTAATTTTCTTTTGGAACAAATGAATGAATGGTCTTGGTTGTTTGAAAAATGAAATTTTTACTTGATATTTTTGGGACCTTACAATCAAAATCATAACTAAAAGAGAAATAGACATTTACATGGAAAACCCAAATCAGAAAAATCAACAGATGAAAGAAGCGAAGAATCAATCCATTATAATTTTGGCTAAATGTCACAAAAGCCTTTAAGTTTATAGGAAAATATCAGTTTTACCTAAGTCGAATTTTATGTCCATAGATGCCAGCCATTTGGGTAGAATTTGTCATTTATGGAATTTTATCAAGTTTCGCATTCCTAGCTGGTCACCAAGCCATTTCAGATGTTTACTTGGCTGTAATTGTTGATGTGGCATGCCACATCAGCTTGTTATGTTGATTAGAAAAATGAAGGCACAGTGCAAGAAATTAGGTAGCCGAGTATCGAAATCATGACCACCCACACAAGGGGTCAACGCCTTAACCACCAAGGTAGGAGTTGGTCGACGTCTTTACCTCTGATTTCCTATATATATATATATATATAATGACATAGATGGAATCTCTTTATTGTTGTTGTTGTTGTATAAATTCGTAAAAAAAATGTATAAATATGCTTATTTTCCATAAGTGTTGATGATGGATGCAACATATAAGACAAACAAGTATGCATGTGTTTTTCCTTCATTAAATATGTTCATACTTTTATTAAATTCAGATACTCTCATCATATTAAATGTTTTTATTTTATCAATAAGTATAACATGATTTTTCTAAAGATTCTTGGTGTCATTTCAACAAACACATCATTTTTTATATCTTTTGGCCTTATGGATCAAGAAAAAGAATAAAATTATGTTTGGGTTGTAAATTGTGTTAAGTCCATGTTGGAAAAATATGGTAACCCATGTGTCATCGTCATAAAGAGTTAGTCTTGATGAATACATAGGCAAAAGTATTTGTATCTGCCATCTGATTACTCTATAGAGACACATATATCAAAATATAGTAAAGCACTGCATACAACATATACAATCAAATGCAGTGTGGAAATCCTTTAAGAAAACGTGGGATAATTTAGTTAACTTGTTAATGTGGATATCATATTAGAATAATTATGCAAACCTTGAATAACAACGAAAAATTATTCAGGTATTATATAATTTCAAATAGTAATATGTATAATATTATATTATTTGATGTTTAATCGTTTATACTTGTTTCAATTTTCAAGTGTTCTCGATTATCTCAATCGAGACAAAGTTTTGAGTCTAGTTGGATAAAAACAAGAAAATGTTTTGTATTCATTTGGATTAACCGAATTTTACACTCTCACAACCACATCAATGGTTGAGAGTCAACACACTAAATTAAAACAAAAAAAAAAAATACTCGGATTCACAACATGCCAACTTAGATGGAGTTTTTAACCATACTGAACACATGGTGAATCTCAACAAACAACAATATAAGAAATTTTTGAAAAATACAATCAATTTAAAGCATCAACAAAGGATACCACATTTTAAAGAATTATGAGATTTTGTTTCACAACATGATTTAGAAAAAATAAGACAAGAACTGAATCGGCCTAATACACAAGAAATAACAAAGGGATTATGGTTGCCAACCGCGTCGTAGTTATGAGTTACCTTATGCGCATGAAATTGTAGTTTATTCTAAAGTAGACCAATCGATACTACTAGAGTCTATAGACAACTATTGGAGGAATCTTGATTTAAACAATGTTTTGCTAACAACAATATAATCTTGATTTAAACAATGTTTTGCTAACGACAATATATGATATACTCGATTGTGAAAAAGGTGTGGAAATGTGTAAACCAATATGAATCGATTCATAACTCATATTTCAATCTGGGACAATCGGTATAGAGTTCAAATCTAGTGGATGAAATTTCAAATGAACTTCATCCTCAAAATTGCAGATTCTGAAAATAATTGTTGATCTCGGTTATAATGAAGATGAATGTCATAAAATTCGATATGAATTATAAATGTATTATTAGTACACATTGGAGAATACATAATACTTTATAAAAACTATTTCAACAACATAAGTCATTCATTGAATTAATTTTGATGGACCTGAATCTTGGCTTATTATGTCGGATAGATTTTGTTGGACATGAATCTTGGCTTATTACGTCGGATACCGTTTTTCTCATTGCAAACACATACAGTGTCATAGTTAATATGGTTTTTCTTATCTAAGCAGACAAGCTTCTACGACGTGCTTCCCACTAAAGTTTGGTTTGAAACATCCTAAATCATGTAGCTATTACTATAATTCATGTTCACGGTGGTCATTATGTGAATTATGATTTAAAAAGAGTATCCAGAGCATATTGTTTTGCCATTTTGATGTAACTACAGATCCCTTCTTTCTTTCATCTCCGACCAACAACCTCCCTCCCTCTGCACGTCCTTCGTCTTCCCCGTCAAGCTCAGAAATTAAACCACTGTTCACCACCCAGAAAACTCACTATATTTCCTCTCTATAACCCTAACAACCACTAACCACATCGACCAAAGGGGTTTCTTGAAGCTTGTCGTAGGAAGATGTTGTCGCTGGAAGAAGATGACATCGCCGATTTGAAGAGGAAAACACCGATGATATGAAGGGGACGCTGCCATCGATGATTTGAAGGGGATGCCATTGCTGATGGTTTGAAGGGAACTTAGTCTGTCTCTCTTGCGCCTTTTCCCCATATCGCATCTGCACACACATGTGTGTATGTGTTTTTTTAGTAGTTATCTATTCTGATTAATCGACGTTAGGATTGGAAGTGGAAGAAGTGGGTGGGTTGGGGAAAGTGAAGGGGAGGGTGGTGTAGTGGCTTTATTTTTTTTAACTGAAAAGAATAATAACAATATCAAATTAAATAAAAAATAAAAACAAAAGGGTATTATGATCATCTTTGTTGTAGTACGGACTAAGTTTGCAATAAAATTGTCTTTTAGGGATGAAGCGTGCAAGTTTTAACCAAATAAGGGACGATCCGAGTTAATTTTTGAAAACAGAGACTAAACGTACATTTTGACATATACATGAGGGATGATTAATATAATTTACCCTTATGGTTTCTTTGGTTTCTCTGGTTTTGTGTCTTTTGGCTTTTGAAATTTTTTGAATCCAAATCGAAAACTAAACTATCCCAAATTCGAGACTACTCGGAAGAAACCAAAAACCAAATTACAATTCAGATTGGTTTGCTTTAAAAATCAAGGAAACCAAATTTTAAGATTAAGATTAAAATCTATAAGTTCCAAACATAAAATTTACGTTTCAATTTTCCATATTTGTTCGAGTATAAAAAATCAAAATACATATCCCATAAACAATGAAATATATAAAATCAAAATATATACTACATTATACATTATAAGAAAAAATGATCAAATTTGATATTTCAACTCACTATAATGCAATTAGTATTCTTTAGCTCAAATTTATTATCAAAGTATTGAAATAAAATTAATTTATAAATATGTAAACTAAATTCGATAATTTGGTTTGATTTTGTCCAAATATCATAAGACCATAACTTAAAGAGAAATTAAATATCATCCTACTTTTTGTTCCTATTTTTTCTTCGTACCTATTTAAGATGATGACAAGTGTACAAATTCAAAAATCTCAATCAAATTTAAATTAAATTTAATGACACTTGTCACCATCTCTAAAATAGGTAAGAGGATATTAGGAAGAAAAAGTACAAGGCTATTTAATTTCTCTAACTTAAATCCTAAAGTAAATTTATAATTCAGTTTGGTCCAAAACCAAACCAAAAATGAAATTAAAATTGGTTTTGGTTCGGTTAGTTTTTTTATTTTTTAAGGTTCCAAATTTGAGGGTGACAATAAATTATTTAAGAAAGGTACAATAAATAAATATAAATAATAATAATAATTAAAAAAAAAAAAAAAAAAAAAAAAAAAAAAAAAGACATTGGCCAGGCGACTGAAACTCTTACGGCGTCGTATTCCCATGTAACACGGTATACCGGGGATCAAAGTGATTTAAGTGGTGAATATAGCAACTCTTATCTTCAGTAGTCAATCCGACGGAGAAAGCTCACTGGTTCCGCCGATGGCGTTAATGGCGGTCGCCGTTACATCTATTCCAATGGCTTCTAGTTCTCTCTTTTTCTCTCGTTCTCCATCGATAACAACCATACCCCTTTCTCCATCTTCGTCAATGTTTCTCTCTTCATCTGAAACCACCTCAATTTCGCCACTGAGTACGTAAACCCTAGATTTGTATGTTGTTTTGATTTCTGCAATTTTAGCCTCAACTGCATCTGTTTACCTAACAATACCGTCGTTTTGAGCTTCAGTTTATTGCGGAAGAGGGGACAAGAAGACTGCCAAAGGAAAGCGATTCAATCACTCCTTCGGGAATGTGAGTTTCAGTTTCAGGATAACACTTTTTGATGCGTCGCGTGTATAAAAACCTCGTAATTATTTACGGTGTATGAATAATGAATTGACAGGCGAGACCAAGGAACAAGAAGAAAGGGAGAGGACCACCGAGAGTGCCTGTTCCACCAGCTCCACCAAGGAAGGATCGATTTGACGACGGTGAAGTTGTCAAAATTGAGATCGATGAGTCCCTCTTCTCCAGCTAAACATTTGTTTGTATGAATTTCTCTGTTATCTATAGTGTAATATATGTTTTAAACCTACTCAAATTTGCTTCTTAGTTCTTACCATTTAACCTTATGTAATCTGAAGGCTTTTACATAAGTTAGCTTATTACAAGCATATCAATTCAGTGACTTGTTTAAGAGTTGATTACTATTGGAAAATGTGGGCTGTATCATGTATATGCCTACTTGGGAACCAAAAACAAAACTGGTTTAAGCTCTTTTTGGAAGAGAACTTAGATTTGATATATAATACTTCCAAAATGGAGTTCCTTTGAATAAGATATTGATCCTTAAGTGTGTTATTTTGAAATGAAGATTGAGAAGTCTCATTACTTTGTCCCACATCAACTGATCAGACAATCCCCAAGTTAAGACTGGGTTCGGTATCTAAGGGGTTGTTTGATTTCCCTCTGACTGGTCCAGTCAGAGCTTTTATCTGACCCGGTCCGAGTCGGCCCGTTTGATAAAAAAATATTTGCTCTTACTCGGTCGTTGGATGGCTGATCGATGGCTTACCGAGTCCGTGAAAAAATAATGGCTAACCGAGACAGAACCCTTCTTTCCCTCTATTGCCCTTCTCACTTGCGAACACTTTCTTCCTTCAACCTCACACCCCGTTCCTTCTGGTTCTGGCCTTCCACATCGCTCCTCTTTCAACAATTGTTTATTCCGGTTTGACCTAATTTACAGGTTTGCGATTCTCATCTCTGCAAAATCGATTTTTTAAGTTGTGTTGAAATCGATTTTTAAGCTGTGTTGAAATCGATTTTTTATGATTCAATGGCCAGTTCTTACGATCAATCCCGTAAAACTCTGCTCCAGAGATGATATCTTGGATTGAGAAATTACCAGTTCGTAAAACAGAAAGAAGGATTGAGAAAAGATCAGGGTCTCTGTCGGGATTTGATCGTAAGAACTGAAGAGATTGGAGAAGAGAGGGCCTGATTGTGAAAAAGGAGGCATATTTCTGAAGAATTGAGAAAAAAAGATGTGATTCTTCTTGAAGAATTGAAATGGGGTTTGGTGATGATGCTGATGAAATATGATTGTTGGGGACGGGTTTGGTTTTGTAGAGGTGTTTTGGGGGATGAAGGAGCTCTAGAAGAGGTACTTTATGTTTGATATATGTTTTAAATTGTTGATATACCATGAATCTTCTGATTATGATTTCTATTTTCACTTTAATGACACATTACATGCATTTATGCTTACAGATTCATTCTGCTGTAGCCCTTCTGCTGTGTAATCAGATTGGGAGAAAGACAGAAAAGATAGAAGCATCATTAGAGGAGATGGGGATTATTGCATCTTCTTAACTGAGAAAGCAAAAAAAAGAGACTAAACTACCCTTATTATGTTCGGATTACTCCAACATAGTCATCATAGAAAACTCCTTGTTATGGATAAATTCAGTTGTTGTGTTATCTTTTTGGTTTTTAAATCCACCCAACAAAAAGTGTTAATGCAGCAGTTTTGGTTTAAAAAAAGTAAAGTTTAATTAAATTTAAAAGTAGACTAGACATGGTTGATATGTTTTTGAAAGAAAGTACAATAAAAGAAGTATTAAAATAATAGAGCATTACATTCTTAAAAACTATAAAAGCATGGTGATAGTGGTATAGCCGAGAAATAGGTATATATATAATGGTTTATTTGATTATTAAATCTGAAATAGGACAAAACATCACGGTAATTTTAAGTGTTGCACATTTGACAAAAAACAATAGCATTATGTCTTCATAGTTTGTAATTATAATTATACAATGTTTATTGCTTTTTATGTAAAATGTGAAACACTAATCAATGTGTTATGCAAAATGGGGGAAAATGTTGTAAAATGGAAGTTGGTGATGTATATTGCATGACCATTTGTAAATTAAATGGTGAATCATAAAAGAATAATTATAACAAAAGTTGTTTGAGGGTAATATAGTCATTTTGTATAGTCAGTAACAACAAATTTCAGTCAGAATTTAACCCAGTCAGAACTTCTAACTCAGTCAGCTTCTAACCCAGTCAGCTCTAACTCAGTTAACAACTATCAAACGACCCCTAAGTGATACCGGATTTAAGTGATACCGGATTCTTTAAGTCAGGTATTTGTTTCCATGACAGAAAGAACACCAACCAGCAGCATCTATTATAATAAGTCTATATAGCTGTTCAATGTCTTCATGATTGATTGATTCGCCAATTACAATCCAAAGTAACAGGCAAATGATAGTACTCATTGAAGTCAGCCCAACACCCCCATCATATCAATAGCCTATCCGGATACAACAAGATCTACTACAAGAATCCTTTCTAAGGTTTAGATACGGACATATGCAAAATGTTTAGGACATTTCCATCAACTTCAGAGGGGTGATTTGCATTTCTTAACTCTGACTAGATGCATCTACATAACATGACCCTAGACTTCCTAGTTGCATAGTAAGGAAAGAGATTAAACCAGTTTTGTTTTTGGGTGCAGATCCCACAGCAATTGTTGTGAATATAGCAGCCATGGCCACATTCAAAATATATGATCAGGATAAAGAAGAGCAATCATCTCCTAGAATTGATCACCTCAATTCGCACAGGCTACTGACGAAACCCTAAAAACATAGAAATCTCATATTGTACTTGGAATTAACTTAAGGTTATCAAACAAAAGAAATTATTTTATCGATTCATATACAAACCAAAGGAAAGAGAATCGTACCAAATTTTACAGACAAAATTGTTAAGAGAGAGAGATCGTTAGAGTAAATGATCATCTGTTGCTATCATAATCAACGATCTCTTTGTCAGTGACAGACCTCGAGAGCTGAACAATTGACCTTCCGATCGAATTGATCCAATCCTCCTTCTCTTTTTCCGAATCTGCAATGAAGTACATAGTATCGGATCGGGTCGAGAGCTCAAAAGCGAACTGCTTGTTGATGACATCTTCGGCTCCTTTCACTGTCAGGCAGGCGGCCACTGGAATCACACCACGTGGACGGGAGCCGCGGGTAACGATGGACTCTTTGAACCAGAAGACCTTTCCTTGTTTCAAGACGAACCAACGGCGACGCCAGGTCTTGATGTACTCACCTTGCTTTGTGAGCCAGCCGGTGCGCTCGGGATTTAACCAGTACTCGACGCCGTCATAGTCGTCGGCGTTGGGCGGTGAATCGCCCATCACGGCTCGCCATAAGCTAGCCATCTGATCTGCCGATGGAGGTGGTGAGGGGCTGAGGGCTCGATCTGGGGATGCTCGCGTCCTGATGCAAACAGAGCTCTGACGGAGATAAAGAGGTGATATTTTTTCCCATAAAAAAAACTTGTAAGCAATGTTTTAAAACCGGGGATTTTAATTGATCCGGTGTGATGACCGGTTTACGGTTCAACCCGTTGAACCGCCGGGTCAACCCGGTTTATAGTCTTTTTCTATTTTAATATATTTTTTAGTTTCCTCATAATACATAAACATATAAAACCAATAATTTAATGTCCACAAAGTTTAAACATTAAAAAACATTGAAGAAGCTGCAAACGGCTCGTTGTTTTGACGTTCGCAACTTCTATCCAATTATCCAAACCCTATTAAAACGGGTCAATCCGGTTTTAACCGGGTCGACGTAACGGTTCGACCGCGGTTTAGGAGAAACCCAATCGGTTCGATCCGGTTCGTATTTTTACAAAAAACCGTTCTCAATTGACCCGCTTTCTACCCCGGGTCACGGTCCAACCGGTTGAACCGGGCGGGTCGACCCGGGTTTTAAAACATTGCTTGTAAGATATATCACAATGTCACGCACAATTTTCGGTTTTATATTTTAATTTTTATAGATAATTAATATATTTATTTATGTTTACCACTTATCACACTCTCAATCAATTTGTCAAATGTTATTTTATGGTTATTTTGAATTAATTTTTTTTCCTATTTTTATTTTATGAGTTTTTCTATTTTATTAAATTCTACATAATACTTTAATATAATAATTGTAATAAATATAGCAATAAATAGATATCAATTTCATTAATTAACTTACCTTTTAATTTCAAAATTTTCAAAATTAAAGCTTATTAGTTTATTTTTATTTAAATCATTTGTTTAAATTTAAAATAAAAAAAATTCTATTATAATAATTCATTATTTTTTTTTATAAATTCAAAGCTCTCAAATATTTTGACTTTTATATTTATTTATTTTTTTAAAAAAATTAACTCATGTAATACATGAGTTAACTTATCCAACTATTACATAAAACGGTTATCAGAGTTATAGATACTTTTATGTTTAGGCGATTTTTAACTTATTTGAGTTCATTATTATTTTATTTTATTAACAAATTCTTTAAATAAGATTATAAATTTTTGCTATGGATTTAGTTACAGTCAAGTTATAAATAACAACTCGGCCCCTCATTTTAGTGTATTTGTCTAAATATGAACTCTCATATAGAATTTGGTCTGCTTTATAAGAGAACCCGACGAATCTCTGCACGTTGCGCAAAAATATAGTTATATAGTCTCTTTAACAACAAACACAAATACCCACACCCATTCTCTAATCAAATATTTATTAAACATATGTTGATTTCTATATATAACAAATAACAAATAATATAAAAAAAATTATAACTTTTGATAATTTTGTAGACCATTTTAAGTTGAGTAAATTGTATATACAACGTATGTTGATTTATGTATCTAACGAATAATAAATATATATAAAAAAACATAAATACTACAACTTTTAATAACATAAAAACACTACATATCTACTATAATATTTGTAACAAAAAAAACTTATTAAACACTTATAAATCATACAAAATATATATAGATCAACATAAATTTTATATATATAAACATGACAAAACTATAAAATTGGTCATTGTGGTATTCAAAAAACTTTAGATAGGATCCAAAAAGTTTCCAACTTGCATGGATGGTCCAAAATCAAGAATTTCTTTTGGTTTTGGTCCCTGAAGAACTTGAAAATACTATTTCGCCATTTTTATTTATTTATTTTGTATTTTTTATATTTCCTTTAATAGTTTATTAATTAAAAAATAAAAATGAAAGAATTGGGCCCACCTCTCTCTCTCTATCTCTATCTCTCTCTCTCTCTCTCTCCCCTAAACCAGGGACATCTTTATAAGCGCCAAAAGTACCATATACTCCACCTCTCTTTCGTATGTTCTGAAACCTACAACTCAAACCGCCATCACCATTGGAGAGTGCTGCCTAAAACCTGCAACTCGATCGGAAAACCCACAATTCCTTAGATCTGGAAAATCCTCTGATCTAAAACCCTCAAACCACAAAAAAAAATGAAGAAACTATAGATCAAGCATATAATAGGGGCAAATCGACGACATCATGGCGACATCAATTCAGCCTCCGTCGGTTCGAGAGTAAGGGGAGAAGTGGATATGAGATATGGGTGATGGGTGTTGGCTTCTATTTCGGTTTCAGAGAGAGGCAAAGTAAAGAGGTGAAAACGATTCTTCCATCTTCTTTTTTTTTTTTTTTTTTTTTTTTTTGCTCTGATTCATCGGTATCATGGCAACATCGATTCAGATAGACCAGATAATGATGATCGTTGTTCTTCTTATTTTACAGGGCCTCAGTTTGATTTCTGGGATTATCATCAGGTTTCGTTTTTGGGATTTTCATTATGTTTCAAGAACCCTAAGTAATTGATTTCAATAAGCTGAAAAAAAAAGAGGTTGAAGATGAAAATAGAGATTGCTTAATGTCTGTATTTCTTGTGTAATAAAAGATCGACTGTTTCTTGAATGTCTTTGTTTTGTTGGGTAAATCAGCCATGGATCGAAAGTGGGGAGATTTATGGTGTTGCAGATTTTGGTGTTTGTGTTTATAGTTTATACGAGAGAGAGGGGGGGGGGGGGTGGGGTGGACCCGACATATATATGTTTTTTGTTTTTCTTTTGTTTGTTTCTTAATTAATAAGGTATTAAAAAAATATAAAAATACAAAAAAGAAATGAGAAGGGCAAAATAGTCCTTTCAACATTTTTTGGACTAAAACTAAAAGAAATTCTTGATTTTGGACCTTCCATGCAAGTTGAAAACTTTTTGGACCCTATCCAAAGTTTTTTGAAAACCACAGGGACCAATTTTGCAGTTTTGTCTATAAACATTATTGTTCAAATAAAAGTCTACATTGTAATAACCACGAGGGGTAAAACTTATTTTTTTCAACTCTTTATATTTTAATCATAAATCTCTTAAAACATGTGATTATTTATATGAGAAAACTTATTTATATGTATTACTAATGTAACTATAATGTTTATAAATGAGAGGAAAATAAAAGTAATTACCAATTACTAACCATAAGTTTAAAAAATTTGAGTTGTAGTAATTAATTATTTTAAATTTGAAATCATAAGTACACAAAAATAAAAAAAAATAAAAAACTCTTTTGTTTTTGTGGGAATGTCAAAAGAATTTGATTTAAGTAAACTTCGTGCGTTGTGCAAAATAAAATTACATATATACGTTATTAAAATAATCATATCGCTATTATTAACCTTGAAATAATTATATCTATACGAAGTTGATATAAAACTCATTAGAGCATGTTTGTTGGCTTTTAAGACATACAATAAAAAAAATATTAATAACATCAAACAAATTATTGAAGAAACCTTGTGATTCTTGTAAAGTTGTAATTTCCACTCCATATAAGATTTGTACAACTTGTCATGAACTTGAAATTGATCTTTTATGACACAAATTCTGGAGCATATCAATATACTTAACAAGTGTTGTTATAATCAATTATAATATGCGTTTCAAGACAACCTTTTATACATGTACAACTATAAATATAAAAGAAAACAAAAAAATTAAGGAGAAAACCATATTGAAATATTTCAGAACAAAAACGAATAGATAAAAAAAAATAGGCTAATGATGACGTTCTCACATGTAATTTCAAAAATTGCAAACCACCACTCAAATTGCACTCCACCACCAGAAAAAAAAATCTTAACATGTTAGACGTTTATAAACAAATTGAAAACGTTATATACTAAACCATCATCCTTTTTATCACCTAACCAAGTAATGCATGATCCAAAGAATAGTATTAATGATGAAATATATGTTTTTAGGATAAAAACAAAACTAATTTTTCTATTCAAAATTTGGCTTAATTTAGATAAATACTAAATATAAATTACAAATTTATTTTTATTGGTTTATGTCCAACTGTCCTACACACCAATGCATCTCTCAGGGATTTACTAGGACTCCCTTCCTCACCTCCTCTGCTATTAGTTTCACAAGGAACTTGCACTAATACCACCTAACTACTACATGAATACAATTACATACTATCAACACTAGATAATTGTTCGAATGATAGGTCACACACTACAACGATTGGACTCAAACAAGAGTTGTGCAATAGAGTTAAACCTATCCTTCTAAAATTATCCAATCACAAAAATATGTAACACAACACATTCATCCACTAGTTATTTAGTACCAATAAAATTTCCTAAAGCACAAAGCATGCAACATTTGAGCATCGACAATTCAACTCAGAACATAACATATACATGTCATCCTACCAAGTAATTGATCTGATACTAGCGTGAAAATCTATAAGCTAATACAAATAGGCACATAAATGCATCTCTCCTAGAATTCTATCATGCAATTCTGAGCAGATCCTTAGCCCTTAATCTAGCATGCAATTCTCATATCATAGCATAAAAGATATAACATGTATGGGTATTTTGGGAAGACTTACTTGAGCTCGGATGATTGCACGCATCACACCCCTTTTCATTTAATAAAGTCCTTTAACTAAAAGGTTTCTTTTTATAGAAAATCTACCAAACCCTCGATTTGAGTCCAGGCACACCTGAGAGTATGCCCGAATCCCTAAAACCAAGGCTCTGATACCAACTTGTAATATCCCCAAATACAGATAAAAATTTTCTTTTTAAATTCATTCAAAACATAAGATACTCATATCAAAACAGTCAGAAGTGTATCATAGCAACATATTATCATAGTACAAATTCCCAAAATCTTAAAACGCGAAAATTATAGAGCGATGCGGTGCGATCAGGTCGGACCCTTCCCCTTCGAACTGGAAGTACCTGAAACATAAAATGAAAACCGTAAGCACAAAGCTTAGTGAGTTCCCCCAAAATACCTCATCCATACAATC